AATGCCTTCTGAGCCCTGGGCATTTCAGTGAGGGACACAGAGTTCTCCTGTGGGTGCTTTGCACACTGTTGGAGTACTGGAAGGCCCAGCGCTACCTAAGGGAGTGCTGATACTTTTTGGTCTGTTAGTCTTAACTCTTTAGCTTTAGCAGGAGGTAAGTTAGTGGGGAATCAAAAGCAGAACATGGCTTTGGAGTGAAAAAAATGCCTGGTAAGGAGATAATTTTCTGAGACATATGAATTCTCACCTGCAGAAGTGATGGTGCAATATTTTCTTATATGAACTAGCAAATAGATTCCAACCTTTGCTGTTGTAAGTGGAAGAATAAGTATCCTGTGTTTATGTTAACAGATCTATTCCCATAATGGGTATTCAAGATTTCATTATAAGCAAAGACTGTAGAAATGAACGTGTACTAACTGTATTCTTTTTGGAGGATTAATCTTACATTAAAAATTCATTAAAGTGGGCTTTGTTGCATTATTTAAAATGACAACAGGAGACAACAAGCTGATTATTTTGTCACTGATATGACACTTCAAATTCTCCTCCTTATTCATCACTCTACCACTCAATTCAGTTACACACTATCAAAATTATGTGTTGTGGAAGAAAAAGAGAAATAAAACTAAAAATATATACAATGTGAGTTTAAAATATAATTGGTATTTTACATTATTCTGCAATGTATGGCTTTCTTTCTTGTTTTTTGCACTTCTGCTTATTAAAAAAAAAATATCAAGCAGATTTATCAACAGAATATGCCAAAAATATTCTGAGGTGGCATGACATCAATACAGATTGTTTGTCATTTATACTGATTTTATTTGAATGGCATTGCAGTACAGCTGGGTGGGAGAATTCCAGTGAAGAACTTTCTTAGGGAAGAAACCTCACCTTGTCAAAACCAGTCAGCCTCTTGTCACCAGGTAGTAGTTGCATCAAAACAATGAATAACCCCTGCACATTCTACAGGTTCATCTTTGTTCTGAGTAATGAAATTCATGTCCTTTTCCTGCATCATGCCAAGCACTGATACTGCTCTTGTGTGTTCAGTCTGGCTTTCTGAGATGGTGGGAGTATGAAATGCATCTGCCAGAGCCAGAGTTCCTCCATGTGCAAGGAGAGGAAACTGCTTTAGCCAATATCCCACGCATGTGTCTGGGGTGGGAATATTTATAGTTTCACAGAAAATATGAAAACAGTGAATGTGGCTATGGTATCAGTATATGTCATGTATAAATACAGTCATATTTCATATTGTGATGTTAAGTATGTAGTAAAATGATAAATTTGTTACAATAAGGCGCTGCAAATGCTAAATGTGATATAAATAGTGTGTAAAATCCATATTTGGGGTTAAAGCTATTGCCTCAGAACACTATATAATTCCTCTACTTTAAAATTCTATTTTCTCACAGTGCTCCCTACTCCAGCACTGCTAGGTATCTAAAACTGCTGCAAGAATGATTTGTTTGACTGCTTTGATCATTGACGCCATCTTCAAACCTTTTTATATATTATCCTCCCCGAATTCACACATGAAGTTGTGTCTCTCCTTCAGCAGCATCTGCAGTCACTAGAAGCTGCTGTGTAGCAGTGTTTTTTATTATATCTTCAAGCAACCAGAACAATAGAGACATTTTTGATCTACAGGTACTCCAAAGACAAATACTATGCTGACTAAAAGTCTCACTGCACTGCTTGTCACAGTCCAGCTTGGAATACATACATATCTTCAGTGTTACCTTAAACTTACAGACAAAATAGGATGGGTTTTATCAAGTGCTGGCACACTAAAAGGAAATTATTTGAGAAGTTAATGGTTGGGATCCAGATTTAAGGTTTTTGCTTAAGACAATCAAATGATGGATCTGGGTTCATTTTTGTGGTGTCTTGACACATCTTGCATCAAGTTCATTTGAGATTTAGGTAGGTTGGAGAGGGATACAGACTGAGTCTGTAGGAAGCTATCAGCCTAAGTGAGTAAATTTATGGTTCACCAGAATTCCTGAATACTTAATGATAGGTTGATCTCCCAGTATACAGTGACCTATTTGAAGACAAATGCTGCTTATTGTGGTGTTTTTACCAGACCATACCATTCCTGTGCTATCATGTGGAAGAGCTGGTTTTGTGTTAAGGCATATAATTTCAAGGGATTAAAGCAACACATCAAGCAGTTCAAAATCTCATTAACATTATCCAGTGAAAAATACTGAAATCTCTTTTTTAAATCCACAGATAAATGCATATAGATGCATTTCACAGTTACTTTCACCTAGAAGTTCATACTGTTTGTCTGAGCAAAATGAAGTACAGTTTGTTGGGGGTTTTTTGGAGGGGGGAGTATTTTGTGAGACAATGTAGAAGAATTAAAAGTTGCTTTTAAAAAATATATGTAAAAATAATTTGTGTTGAAGGATATGAATCTAAGAAGGATAAAAGATGTAACGAGAGCGTATGAACCTCTAAAGAACCTTACAAAATAGCTTCCAGAAAGCACAGGGCACCAAAGGATTGCTAACAGGAAACAAGGAGCACTGTTTTGAAGCTCAATAGCTGCATTTGTTTTTCTCTTCAAATGCATAATGATGTTTTAGTTGTTGATGTACCAGAAAAGATAAATTTCTGGGTAATTTATGACCAAATATGTAATCTGAAAGCCAGCTTTACATCCCTGTTTATTGCAAGATGCTGTTGTCTGCAGCAATTTAGAAATTACTACTTGCTTGAGAGAGTTCTGCATATAGTGAGATCCTCTAGCATCAGGCTGCCATTTGTTTACTTCTCTGGATTATAGAATATTCCTTTCACATGGACATGTCAGCCCCTTGACAGCAAATGGTAAAGGTAAGGGAATCTAGCTGATGCATGTGCTTGAAACTAAAGAGACTAAGCTATACAACTAGTCATCATTAGCAAGCTGAAGTAAAGAAAACATTAATTTTTAAAATGCTGTGATCTCTAAGAGCTTAGAAGTGATGTATTTTTTAAGCTTATAATGCAAAACCAGGGTATAACCAATGGATGCAGATGAATATAAATTGATTTGGTGGCAGCTGCACATCTGCAGCTGAGACCAGACATTCAATTAAAAAAAACAAGCTGGTAATTCTTCACATTTCAGAAGGGCTATCCAGAAAGACTATTAAGGCATCTGAGAATTTTCACACACAAAAAAATGTACGTCTGTGCCAACATTATGAAGCGCTATTTTATTCATTGAGGACGTAAACATGATAGTGAATACAGAAAGAACAGCAAATTTTATTAGAAGTGAGAGTATTGTGAGGAACTCCTGAAAGACTAGACTAAACTACCTGGATGAGCATCACCAGGGTACCTGGAACTCCAGGCTGACGTGCTGGGAAGGAACTGAGAAATGGCTCATTCACTTTTTTAAATTCAAGGTTAACTGTAGCAGCTCAGGAGAAAGCTGTGGCTTATTGTATATTGCAGACAGTTTAATGAACACTTCCACTGTTAACCAAACTGAACAGAAAGTTAGCATGTACCAAAACGGACAATTGGGCTGGAACAATCATTATGCCCTTCTAAGCTTTCTCACCCTGAACACTGTGTTTGTTTCTTACCCCTCATCCAAATAAAACACAAAAATAATTTGAGAGGTAGAGGAAAAAAAAAGGTCATGAAAGAGGCTTCTTTTAGATACAACTAGTGTTGTATTGAGAAAGTGAAATGGGCGGATTGTGGTGTCACCACTTGGCACACCTGTTTCACACAAACCCCAAAAGAGACAGGCATTCTCAGGAACTTAAGAAAAGTTTTAAGACTCTTTACCTCCTTCCTAATTTTGCTAACATGCTTATTCATTACATTATTTTTTTTCATATATTAGAAAGGCGTCTTTTTAACATTAACAATTCTAAAAAACTTCTTGCTGCGTAGCCTGATTAGGATGGTAATTGGGCCTCTGTTGTCAAGCACTTCTAGAGTGGTAGGTTATTGCTGGTATCAGAAGTGAAGTAGTATTTAGTTAAGTATCCACTTGAAAAGTTATCTTCAGATTTGGACATTCTTTTAAGAATTAAATGAGACGTGTTATTCTACTTCTGTTTGGCTATGATCCCACCCTGGAAGCATATACAAAAGCTGTGCTAGTTGAATAAAACTTTGATTTCAATAACATGGTGTATGTGTCATGTGTGTACAAATATATTAATTCAGAGTTTTGCTGGGTTATACACACCAATCTAGGAGAGCTCTTTTTTGTGACATCCCCTTCTATCTGTCTGTATGCAACTAAATCATTGAGATATTTTTCTTTGAGAGGAAAATAATGGCACTGAGTTTGTAATTTCATGGACGTGACATATGAATATTTGTTTTTTTCCTTAATGTGAATATATTCCAAGATGTTACACAGCAAGTGTTGCTATTTGGAAATAGCAGGCTCTTCTTTGATCCTTTTTAAGGGGAGCAGCTCACCAGAGTCAGCAATGCACATTCAGCTAATCCAGTACCACCAAAAAAAAAAGATAAAAAATAATTCTTAGAGAATAACACAAGGAATTGTGTTTGTGATATAAACGAGGATTTTGAAAATGGGTAACATACTTAACTACTGTGAATAATCTGTGTGTAACAGTTGGAATTCTAAAAGCCCCATAATATATCTATAATCGTAATGTGTTTCTTTGCTGTTTTGCAGGCAGACCAGTAATGATTGTAGTTGAATACATGGAGAATGGATCCCTTGACTCCTTTCTGCGGGTGAGGTGCCGTTTTTTGATGATATTTGAATAAGACACCATTCTAGGTTATGATTTTAAATAATTTATCATAGATTAATTTCTACATAATGTTATTCATGGATTTTTAGTGAAGAACAGAAGCAGTTTCCCTAGGGTACATTTCTAAGGTACAGTGATACATTAGAGTATAGCTGGAAAAAAAGATTTAAACTTAAGAATATAATTGATTTCTTCTACAAAAGTAGTTCCCCTATTTAGCAAAATGTTTTTCAAATAGCATTTTTCTAAGGAAAAGATAAATTGAAGCATAAATGCCTAGCCTTATGGAAGTGGTTCATTTTTCTCAATCACCTTCAAAAATACTATGCTGTGGTTTTTTTTTGGTTAGTGAAGTGTAAAATAGACTCAGTAATTGATTTATAATTATTTATGGTTACTTGCATTTAACAAATTGAATTAGAAAACAGTTCATGGGTGAAATGTCCTGGCATTAATTAACCCCCAAAGGTCACTAATAAACATTAAAGAAGGGCTACAGAAAGCATAAGTTGTTGGCACAATTGCATTTCATTTTTCTTGGAAAAGTAGAGGGAGAGGATGACCCCCTAAGCTAAACTTATCCTGAAATGGTATCATCTTTGTTAACCCCTGCAAATGCTCCAAAGGCCCACTGACATAAGACCCTGTGTGAATAATTTGATTGTCAAGTATTTCAAATTTGTCTTAAAAAGTAAATATCAGTCCTTACTAGTCCACTGCCTTTCCATTGCCATCTAGCAGAATGGTAAAGCTGGGGTTGTAGGCAGGAGTAGGGTGGGGGATCGGGGGACTGTGGTTTTGTGGACTTGTTTGAAAGGGTATCCCCAGTGCAAAGGAGAGGTGTCCAACAAGGAGCTGTGAAAGTATTTTCAGGAAAATAAACATGGTGATGATGATCAAGGATGTTATGGTAGCAGGAAGAAGGAACTGCTAAAAGAAAAGAGTGAATAAGCAGGAGGGGAAGAACTGCCAACACTTTAGAAAGACTAAATCAGTGAGAAGGAGAGGAAGTCGTACTACTCAAGAGAGTAGTTGTTTGACAGCAGGTCAAGAAAAGAGGTAGCCACAAGAGGAGAAGAGCATCTGGAACAGAGGATACTACCCTGAGAACACATCAGAGCCATTATCTTCAATATTTCTAGACATTGTTTCTGCCTTCCTTTTGCTTTTGATTAATCCATTGTATTTTTTCTCTAGCATTTCCTGCTGTCCTCTTCATCGACTCTCACAAATATTTTTTTATTTTCCTTTGTAAAGACCCATGACAGACATCTGCTATGTTGTCAGAAACACACCAGCATCACAGTTTCTGGTGAGAATTTGCTGATCTCTCAAAATCGAGTTATTTTTCTGGAGAGAGTTTAGTATCATCAAGTTCTTCTTAGAAACTGGGTAGGTTTTAAAAATCCCCCATGTTGCCTTTCTGGCTCATCTTTCTATTTATCTGCAGCAGAAAGATTGCCACTGATTTGAGTACCTGGGCCTTCCCTGGTCTGTAATTTTTCAGCAGTGCCCCAGGAAGACTTGCCTGGACCTGAAACTCCATTCTGTGCATGTGCGTGCGTGTGTGTGTGTGCAGAATTGCATTGAAGAGAATAAAACCAAACACTGAAATAATTCATGAGAGAAAATTACTTTTCTCTGAATTGCTCTAGTATGATACCTATGTTCCAATTATTCTTCACATGCATTTATTTATCAGAATAGTTACTACTTATTAGGGTACTTTAACAGAAACTGACATCAGCATAATTTTGATGTTATTGGGAAGCAATACTTCTCACATTGCATCAGATATATTTGTAGGCAAAACTGCTGAGGGGAAATGTGAGCTAATCATTTCTGCAGCTGGTTTCCATGTATATTCTTTTACAGTTTCAATTCACACTTCAGATATGGTTTATTATTCTAAAATTATTTCTAAAAGGACTAATACTCAGCACCCCAAAGCACTGTAGATATATCATCAGCATTTCTGTTAATAATTAGCAGAGCAAATGACTACAAAGTAACCTATTTAAAAAGAAATCCAGCTGCTTCATTAATAATAATTGTTTCCTGCAGATATAAGTCTACACTTTTAAAAGCTTTTGTGAAGATATGAAGAAGCAGAGGAGTTTATCTTTAGCAATCCTAATGAAAGGTGCTCAGTGAATATAACAATTCTTATATGGTGAGATTTGGAAGGGTTTGTAAGATAGTCTGTCTCATTATTTAAAAGACTCACATGTTACAGTGCAAAGTGTTATTACAGAGAGGGGAAAAAAATTCATTTCTTGCCATAAAAAATATTTCTCCTCACATTGCAACCTGCAAAAATTAACCAACGCATCTCTCAAACCTGGCCTTCGCCAAAAACCTGCAAAAATGGGTCAATCTTACATTTTCAAAGTGAAATTCTTACGATGAACCATGTGAGTGTATTCCAGAAGAAAGACTTCTTGTGGAAGTCATTTGCCATAAGCCTCCCCACGGCCTTAGTGGGATGTTAGCTTTCCTGCCAGTATGAGTTGTGCAAGGAATCATAAACTCCAATTAAAACTCCCCCTGATCCCTAAACCCTAAAGTCTTCATAGCCTTTGCTTCCATCCTTTATAGAGGGGGAAATAAAGCACCAAGATATTAACTAATCTGCAGAGTATTGTGCACACAGTGCACAGCAGAGAGTAGAAATGAAATCAGTTCCCCTGGATTCCAGGCCAGCAGCTTGTTCTCATCCTTCATCTTATTTAGTGCTGTATTTTGGTTGTAATTACGTGGCCAAGTCATAGAATCATAGAATCATAGAATG